TTTAAGAGAGATTTTTACTATGGGATGTGTGCTCTTGCCAGAGAGACAAAGAGACAGAAAGCGAAAAATCAACCCCCTCAGGGAGAATAGCCATGCCACTATCCCTTTTCCTTCATTCTCCTCTCAGGATTTTGGGCATGTATGCACACATGCCCGCTATGCGTTCCAAGCTGCCGGGTCTGGGATTCGAACTGTGGTTGACCACATAGAAGTCCAGCACCTTAACCACTATGCCACCTGCTGGCCCATCCACAGCCTTCTCTTAACATCCTGGCAGCTGGGTTTCTTTGGTGCTGTGGAGTGGGGTGAGGAAAAAGAACAGTCCTCTCATGATCAGGGATGCAGATACGTTTAAGAGCTTCCCTTTCTTTTGAGGCCCTCACCAATAATCTACAGAAGCATTTTAGACCAGAGCTCTGGGGGAAAAGAAGGAAGGTGGGGCTGGCAAGTGGCATGGTGGTTAAAGGCACGGGATTTCCACATGGCCGAACATGGTTCAAGTGCCGGAACAGGCGGCTTGTTTTCTCACTTTCCCTCTCTCTCTGTCTCTCTCTGGTTGAATTAAAAAATAATAATAGGGACTGGCGGTTGGTGTAATGGCTATGTCACTGGACTCCTCTCTCTGTCTTTCTGGCAAGTGCACGTGCCCTGTAGCAAAAACCTCTCCAAGAAACAAACAAAAAAAGAATTTGAGGTCCCTGGTGGCGTGGTGGTTAGGGTACTGGGCACTCCCACTAGAGTTCAAGTCTTGGACCTGGTGCCTTGCTTTCTCACTTTCCTTCTCTCTCTCTTTCTGTGTCTATCTCTGCTCAAATTTTAAAAAGAAATTAATAGATTAAAAAAATGAAATAAAATAATTCTAAAAAAGGAAGAATTGAAGGCCCCAGAAGGACACCAGGGCAGTCCACATGGAATGAAGAGCCACCAATGGGCATCTTGACTGGGACTGTTCTGACGTGCCCGTGTTTCTATTTTACTTCCGGACAATGGCCTCTGGAGCAGCCAGGAATGCAGCATCACAGAGAAGCACCTCCTGCCTGAAGACAGCCTACAGCAAAGCATCATGGTGGAGGGTCCTGAACTGAGAACTTACTGTGCAAACGACAGCTGGGTCCGCACCTGGACTTCCGGCCATTCTTCCTGGATGATCCTCCCACACTGGAGCAGCTCCTTGGAAAGACTCTTCACTTTTACCAAGTTCCCAGATGCTTCCTTAAATCTCAATTGTGTTCAGGAAACGTTCCACTTGGCTCTAGATTCTAGGACCCCAAGTCATGGACCTTCTTGCTCCCCACACCCTTCTTGTCACCCTTGCTGAGTCATCTGTCTTTTTTTTTAAAGGTTTTTGCCATGGGGTGCATGCACTCACTGGAGAGAGGCAGAGAGAGGGAAAGTAAGAAATCATCCCCAGGGAGGATGGCCACGCTGTAATCCCTTCTCCCCAATTCTCCTCCTGGGACTTTGGGCACAGACGCACACATGCCCCATGTGATTTTGAAGCTGCCAGATCCAGGACTTGAACCACAGTCGGCCATATGGGAGTCCAGTCCCTCAACCGCTATGCCACCTCTTGGCCCTGACTCACCTGCTTTGTATTTGGCTTTGAGAATTAACTGCACGTATTATGCTGTCAGTATGAAGGGTTTTAGGAGAGTTCATGGAAAATGCATATTATGGAAAATGGATTTGAAAGCCTGTTTTACATCAAAATTAACTCATACTGTAATTCTCTTTTTCCACCAACGTTTTGAAGTCCCCTTGTCTTCCTTCCATCCGTCCGTCCTTCCGTCTTTCTGCTA